TAATATGGATTTTGTGACCTGACATTGATAGGTGTTTTGCAATGGATGACGCTGGATTTCTATTAAGATTAATCGCATTGGAATTTTCAATGATTTAATAGCCATTTTGGAACATGTTCTTTCCAACGACATTGGAACATTCTGTTGGTTCTATCTATGTAGGTGTCACCGCAGCTGCAGGTGAACTTGTATATACAGTTTGAAGTAGAGTCCACCGACCTTAATTACCTAGAATCAGTTCACAGTGTACCGTCGGTGGCACAGTGGTTAGGACTCTCGCCGACCATGCACATGGTCCAGGGTTCGGTCCTCTACCGACGCACACTTGATATCTATGGTCGGCCTGCAAAATTTGGGCTGCCGATATCCATGCTGAAAATGCCATACCTGTACGGTGTGGCATCAAGCTGTAATCAAAAATATAAAAAAATATATATACATAATTATAATGGGATGGTAGTCACAATGTATTTCATCTATTTATTCACTTCATTATAGCTTGATTCCACACAGTATTTTGGTACGGGTATGGCATTTTGAGCATGTAATGTCCATAGCCCAAATTCCGCAGGTTGGCCATGGATATCAAGTGTGCGTCGGCCGGGGATCGAACCGCGGACCATATGCATGGTTGGCGAGCGTCTTAACCGCTGTGCCAATGACGCGTGCCACCTGACTGGTGGAATTCAGTCAGAATAAACAGTGACGACTAGACATATGACACTGATTACAACCTTGTAACTAATCAAAGTACCTATTCATTTGCCCTGAGTTCTGTTTTTCTTAACACTTAAAATAGGCTGGATAAATAATCAAATGAAATTTAGTGGAAACTCTTTCCCAATTAAAACACTGACCAAAGCGATATCCAGTGTAATTTTCCCAATCCTTGCTTTCCAGATAGAATGCAAGGTCTCAAACCTTTTGAATTGATTTAGTAGCGGTGAAGTTGCCAGCCCCAAGTCCAAACTTCCCTCTTTCTCGGGTTTACTTCAGGCTAGTAAATTGGGTGAAATCCATCCCGAAAAGCCTCATTTATGATACAATTTAATCCATTCTGACAGAATCTCACAGGAATCCCTTATACTTGCATACATATCCATATAAATCCAGCCGGGAACGTTTTCTCGTCTTTTGCAAACAATTCGTTTAGTTTTTAATCCTTTTATCAAGATTCGTTAAAAGCTTAACGATTTTGTATATCCCTAAAAATTGAGCAGTCCGACAGTGTGTTTGTTTTCCCACTGAATAGTTTATATTAGACATGTCATATGATTTAATTAATTTAATTCCACTGCAGTAAATATGAAGCAATACACCTAGGCCAAATTAGTTGGGCAGTAGTCAGTTTGACCGTCGGAAAACACAATCCCAAGATCCCAAACATTCCATAAGATCATTCTGTCCAGTAAATTCTACTCAACATATAACAATTTTCAAATCCACATAATGTTCTGTCCTTTCTTGTGTCAAACAAGCTGTCATAAAAATGAAAAGAGTTATCTTCTGTCCACCTCCATAGATGTAATAAACGAAATCTGCCATTTTCCGGTTTTGATATATATGTACATACCAAAGGAAACTGCCGAAATCCTTACTCATAGACACTATTAAGATAAGAAACCAAAAGTACAACCAGTCACACAAAACCTAAGAAATAAGAGGAAAAAGTGACATTGCTAAAATCTAATGTACCAGGGTTTTAGCAAACGTTTGTTAGTTGTTTATCAAATCAACAAAAAATACCTCATCCTATGCACCAGATATTTGGCTAACCCACGCCACCTCCAAGAGTAAACAGAAGCGAAGAATTACAAGTGCAAAAGCTAATTACAATTGTTAGATTTCCGAATAAAGCGAGAACAACAGTTTTTTTTTTCGGAATAAACTGGTACTACCATCAATGCTAATTTCGTTGGCTTCGCATCAGCTGCTTACAGCACAAAGACATAATATTAAGTTTATCTACAGAAACAATTTTGACTTACTCACACTGAGAGTTCATTTTTTAAATAAAAAAATCAATACATGCATACAATGCTAATAATAATATAATCACTTTATCCCGAACAACTATAATAATCATACACAATGGAATTTTTCGCCTTTAAGTAATTGAATGAAAGCGAGAATGAAGACATCCAATTACGCATAAATCGGGTTTCATGCATTTGATAGAGATTGCTTCGACAAACTTGAGGAGAATTGAGATTTCTTAACTGTTGATAATTTTAAAGGAATTTGCAATTTCCACCTTATGACCTGTATCAAGGAGATGCCTAATAATGGCACTATTGTAAGCGTTTGTTCCCTTGAGAAGTTGGCTTTCCGGTAAACGCTCACAAAATCGGAGGCGTGCCTTTCGTTCTGTTCCTCCAGTGTAACTGCTCCCACAGATACACGTAAATTTGTATACACAGTTGTCGTTAACATGAGAAGGGTATCTGTCGTTTTCCGTCAGACCGGAACCAGCTTAGCTTCAGGATAAGCTCTGGCTAGTGACGTAGTCAATCTTCCGTTGACTATTACTGCAATATTTTTTCACCTTTAAAATCGAGTTGAATGACGGTAGGCTTTTTCCACACTGTGATTTGTTTGAAATTAAACCCCGGAGGTGCAGGTCATGAGATCAAGCTCAATTGACCATTCAATTATTTTGAGTGAAATTCAGTGGCCCTTTGTCAACTAGCGATATGACAGTACCATCAAAAATGCCTTCGAGGAGTATTCATCAACTCATCAGTGAGCTGTCTACTAGGTGGATTTTCTGAAGCTGCAATAGGAAGTCGTGACCAGTACGCTCGACCATGTCAAGGTGATGTGGGTTTGCAATGATGAAACGTTGAGAAATCGGATGAGACAGCTGTCCAGGGCATCCCTGATTTTTAAAATTCTCTCTCTAACTCATGTTGCTTTGTGATGTAAATTTAGTAATTGTTATTAATCCAAAGTTCAGATAAATCTTTTAGTCTGAAAATAAAAATAAAAACTACGGTCGCATTTTTCGATACTAATTTTAATGATAAGTTGTTTACCAAAATGTTGTCAAACCTGTAACACATATATGTATGTGTGTACCTATAAACATGTGATAAAGTAGTCTGAAGCTTTTTGATCCCCTTTTGTTTTATTTATTTTGGAGTATTCTGTTGCTCATTCTTATAAGCGTTTTAATGAGGAATAATCATAAACACTGAGGGAATCTATTATCATCAAATCAATGTGCATCGTGATGGCGATCTACCTAGAATGGTGGTTACACACTGCAAACCTGACTGACAGAATTCAGTTTGAAAGGACTGGACAAATCACACTAGTCAGTTATTAGTGTCCAATCAAAGTATGATTAAACAGTGTTTATACAATGATATAAGAATAGAACCTGTGCCTTGTGGTAGAGTATAATTCCATTATGGGTAAAATTTATTTTGATAAAGTTTCACAGCGTTATACAGCAATACTTACTGATGACGTTTCAAGCTAAATTTATTGCTCACAATTATTTATACAACTAAGAAATGTTTAATTTCAGGTAAATCTGAATAAATTTCAATCAAAGCTAAAGTTTAGGTTGTGTATAGTTATCGTACGTGCGTCGGTGGCATAGTGGTTAGGATGCTCGCAGACCATGTACATGGTCCGGAGTTCGATCCCCAGCCGACGCACTCCTTTACCTCGCTAAGCCAGTCTTAAGACTGGTGAAGAAGAAAGGTTGGGCATGAGGCTATCAACCCCATCCTGTAAAAATAATCACCACTGATACAGAAACTTCAAGCCACTAGCTTTGGGCCCTATGTTCCACTGGGAACGTGAAGGAAAAAAATAGATGTCGTACAATGTATGGAATTGTTGTGAGTAACTACACAGTAATTTATTTAATATATATTGATTATTTTGACAAAGAACCGATCAAAAACGTATCTCCCAACAAATATGCAGAAGAAAATCAAAGTAAAATAGACAAACGACTGCGAACCGAATCGGAAGTGACTAGTCAGTCGGTGGCTTGATCCAAGAGCGATATGGAGGAGATATTATTTGGGAAGGAAATGAAACCTTATACGTGCGTAACTATGGAGCCAAGTGAAGATCACTGCTGGGAACAGAAGGAAATAAAAATGTACTCCTTAAGTGCTATATTCGTCGGGGGCACAGCGGTTACGACTCTCGTCAACCATGCACATGGTCCGGGGTTCGATCCCCTGCCGACGCACACATGATAGCAATGGTCGGCCTGCAAAATTTGGGCAACCGATATCACATACTGAAAATTCCAAACTTGTACCAGAAATACTGTGTGGTTTCAAGCTATAATCAAAAAAATGTTCCACCCGGAACCCAAGAGAATAATAATAATAATGTCATAATTGATCATCATAATTTTATTGAGGCTAACTAGTCAGCTAACGACAGTTCGGTTTGACTAAAAGGTGAAATAATGAAAGTGATCATACAATTGTAATTTAAGGTCTGGCTAATTTTGAGAAACACAAAATGAAGAGAACTAACTGTACAAGTTAAAACCATACTGAGTAGAGGTAAATGGTGGGAAGTTATTGGATGTATTTATTTTTCCTTATAAGTGAATATAAGTGTAAGATGAATTCCATTCCCATCCTTAAATCAAGTCAACCTGTCCCGGATCAGCCTAGCATTATTGCAACACAATTATCCATGCCCAACGTGTCTATCCCACCTTGCTTAATTAACTGTGTATGTGTGTTTTTACTTCGATCCTTTTAGTCAGACACTTGAACTCATGACCCAATCAGAGTATTTTTGTGAACTGTTATTTTGCTGCCCCATGTCTTATTTTGTACTATTCTGTTGAGTTTATCTTATTTATTGATTGGTCAAGTAACCAATTAAATTCTATCTTTGTGCCTATGCTTTGTCTATCTCTTACTTGGGTTCATTCTTCTACTGACTGCTCACCTGAACGGTCGTGTCTGATCCGGCTAGTTCGTAATTTTGGCTTTAACGTTATTCCGCTCTGATAGCGGTTCCTTGCTTTCTGTTAAGCATTGTGTATTGTACTCTTGAAACCGTTAAGGTTTGTTGTATATATATTAATTGATTTGTTTATTAATAGTACCGTAGAAACAGTGACCGGCTTCTTGTTTGTTCTGGACCGGGATAGCCTATATCTACGCGTGACTTAATTTCAAGCGATATTGCGCTTACAGTACTTAACGTATAGAGTTAAAGTTTGCCGGATCAGCCCTTGACGGAAGAGACCGTACTGAACTGGTCAGTACTTAACGATCAAAGCCGGAAAAGACCGTACTGAACTGGTCAGTACTGAACGCCTTGACGGAATAGACCGTACTGAACTGGTCAGTACTTAACGTATAGAGTTAAAGTTTGCCGGATCAGCCCTTGACGGAAGAGACCGTACTGAACTGGTCAGTACTGAACGCCTTGACGGAATAGACCGTACTGAACTGGTCAGTACTTAACGTATAGAGTTAAAGTTTGCCGGATCAACCCTTGACGGGAAAGACCGTACTGAACTGGTCAGTACTTATCGCCTTGACGGAAAGGACCTTACTGAACTGGTCAGTACTCAACGTTCATCCAGAAGAAACTTTGGTGAATTGGCAGCACGCAACGTTGTTGAAAATAAATTTTTTTTTGGAACGATGCAAACCAGATCAGGGAAGCAAATTTTGGAGCAGCAGTTGGAGAGTCGGCAAGTCCTCGTTTGCATAAATGATCATGTTGATAACCTTTCGTGCCCCGGCTCTCATGTCAGTAGTTCGAAACCATCATTATCGCGAGTAACTAGTGCTAAGTCGTCGCTACTAAGGGCGCAGCTAAAGGAGAAACAGCTTCGAGAGGAGTTAGAGTTAGAGAAAAAGTTGCTAAAGGCTAGACATGATGTCGAAATGGCCGAGCTGCTTGTGAAGTTAGCCGTGGACGACAAACGGAAAATTGGAAATACGAAAAGAGACACTGTCAACTACGCTCGAATCAGCGAAGAGAGTATCAAAGACGACATCAGAAGGCCATATGAAGCTGAGTTTAGGGATACTGAAGAAAGCGAACACTCATTTTCTATCGAAGATCCTAAGGCAATCGAGTTGGTTACTCAAAGCACCGTCTTAGAAAAGGGGCATTACATCATTTCCTTGCCATGGAAAGATCCAGCAAAGGTAACGGACAATAATTATGTGGTTGCCATAAATCGGCTACTCAGTCTGAAATGGAGGTTATCACGTGACAAGAACCTTTCAGCACGATATGTGGATGGGATAAATGCGATGTTAAAAAATGGTTATGCCCTTCCGGTACCCCTAGAGCAGCTAGCAGCCAACTATCGCCCGAGGTGGTATCTTCCACATCATCCCGTAAAGAAACCGAAAAAGCCAGATAAACTGAGAATAGTTCTAGATTGCGCCGCAACCTTTAGAGGCTATTCTTTGAACGATAAGCTATATGAAGGACCTGATACGATTACGGAGCTTGTTGGTGTTCTGTTGCGCTTTCGAGAAAAGCCTATTGCTGTAGTCGCGGACATAGCTGATATGTTTATGCAAGTGAAGGTGCCACTAATCGATCGACGAGCATTACTATTTCTGTGGTGGAAAAATGGTTTTCTAGACGAAGAGCCGCAGGAGTTTCAGATGACAGCATCCGTTCGGGTTAACTTCATCACCCTTCTGTGTGAACTTCGCGTTGAGAAAGGCAGTAGAGGGCTTTGGTTGCTTATATCCGGAAACAGTAAGAGAGCTGGGCACGAGGGTTATACGGTGTAACATGATTCATAAAATCCTAGTCGGATTTTGGGGGCCGGTGTAAGATGAATTCCATTCCCATCCTTAAATCAAGTCAACCTGTCCCGGATCAGCCTAGCATTATTGCAACACAATTATCCATGCCCAACGTGTCTATCCCACCTTGCTTAATTAACTGTGTATGTGTGTTTTTACTTCGATCCTTTTAGTCAGACACTTGAACTCATGACCCAATCAGAGTATTTTTGTGAACTGTTATTTTGCTGCCCCATGTCTTATTTTGTACTATTCTGTTGAGTTTATCTTATTTATTGATTGGTCAAGTAACCAATTAAATTCTATCTTTGTGCCTATGCTTTGTCTATCTCTTACTTGGGTTCATTCTTCTACTGACTGCTCACCTGAACGGTCGTGTCTGATCCGGCTAGTTCGTAATTTTGGCTTTAACGTTATTCCGCTCTGATAGCGGTTCCTTGCTTTCTGTTAAGCATTGTGTATTGTACTCTTGAAACCGTTAAGGTTTGTTGTATATATATTAATTGATTTGTTTATTAATAGTACCGTAGAAACAGTGACCGGCTTCTTGTTTGTTCTGGACCGGGATAGCCTATATCTACGCGTGACTTAATTTCAAGCGATATTGCGCTTACAATAAGTGTTATTCGTATTTAAAAATATATATGTGACGCAATGACTATTATTCACCTTTATCAGAGCATTCTATTATAAACATACTCTTATTGTCTTATCCCTAGGAAATCTTCTGTCTTCCTAGTTTTATAATGGTTAAAATTACTAATCTGTCTTTATCAGATAACCCGTTTCTTAAAATCAAAATACTGCTTTCCAGCAGACCGAAAAGACTAAATAATATTTCCAATTTATTTTAGTCTCGTTGTTTTAGCTGTTATCTTGTAGACAGACATTTCATCTTGCTAGCGTGAAAAATAATTAGGAATTTAATTTGGTTGGTAGAAGCTATGAGTGAAATCCAAAATGTGCATTGCATCCTATTTGGGACTAGTCAGCTGGATGTACTGACAATCCCCGAGGAGTGATGGTGTGCCTACTGGCACTCGAACCCAGTTCCTCACGTTTCAGATGCCAAGATGTTACCCAATAGACCAATAAGACCATGAGAGCCACGGTCATCAGTTATTATCTCAGCTTTCATTTTCATGTTGACGGCTTAGAGTGGAATATGTTGTTTCTCAGTACCGACGCTTCAATAACGCCTGAGGATTAACATGAAGCAGCCGTCCAATTCATCAAGGTAGAATCAAAATCGACTTTTAAAAAAGGCAATGATTAAGAATTTGTCTATTTAAGGAAAAAGGAATATGGCTTTTAAAGATTGCATTAGTTTGAAGACATACCTAGCAGATGGATATCCACACTTTTAACAATGCCTATCTCTCTCTCTCTCGAAATTACAACTAATAAAAACAAACATTTTCACCTTTAAAAACTGTTAGTGAATTTTGTATTAGCAACTGTAAATTGCTTGCCTTTATCTATAGAAATTTACAATAAGAATGCATCATAATTAAAATGATTTTCTTAGTTTCGTGTACTTTTGGTTGTTTCAGCCATGGCCAATTGTAAGAACACAAAATGCAACTACAGCCATCATATATATATATACATATATATATAAGGTCACTAATATCCCCTATCGTAGCAGATATATTTATGGATATCTGGGAAAATATTGCTCTTAACACATTTAATCCCACTCCAAAAATATGGTGAAGATATGTGGAGGACACTTTCACGGTGTTAAAAACAGAACATATCTCTAGCTTCTTGACCCACATAAACCCACTAGTAGAGGGAATACAATTCACATTTGAATCGGAAAATGAACAAGGAGAAATTAGCTATGTTAGATTGTAAAATAAGATGAACAGAAGAAGGTAAACTGCACACTAGCGTTTATAAAAAGCCAACTCATTTTAATAGATACTTAGACTTTAATTCATCTCATCCGTTAACTGTTAAGGCAGGCTTAGTTAAGTGTCTAACAAACAGAGCGGTAGCACTTAGTAGTACAAGAAAAGACCTAAATAATGAAATAAAACAGATGGAGGAGGCTATGGTATCAAATAACTCTCCTACAAAATTGAATAGCAAGATCAGTAAAGGCCAAAAACAAAATAAAAATAATTGTGAAACTAGTAATGATAATATAAATAAGAGAGAATATAAGTCATCTACAGTTATAGCATATAAAGAGGGGACATCTGAGACCCTGCGTAGGATTCTAAATAAAGCAGGAATTAGCCTAGTGGCATTTAAACCTACAAACTCATTCAGGTCGGACAAGCTCTGTAGGTTAAAGGACCCAGTTGACCCAATTAGACAAAATAATATAATTTACAAAATATCTTGCAATGACTGTGAGTTAGGTCAACTACATAGGTCAGACTAGTAGGTCAGGGGTAGTCAGATTGTCGGAACATAAGAATTTAGCTAAGGTAAGAATGGTTGACCCCGAGAAGATAAGTAATTTAGAAAAAAGCTCAGCACTACATTGCAATGCATGCATTAACACACAACCAGACAGTAGCATGGTGAGAGAGGGTCAAAATCCTAAAAAGTAACCTAGGTCGGTCGGTCGGTCGGTTTTCGACATAGAACTTTGCACATATGTGCGGCAGTTCAAGTCACCACACTCCCGTCTTGTAGCACACAAAGCAAGAGAAGAAAGTAGGAGAAATGCATATTAGAGACAGTAAACAGAGGTGTGAGACAAAAGAATAGTAATAACGAAGAACAAAACAGTTTCATTGGAAATCATAAGTCACAAGGAGTGGATTCATCTGCGCCACTGAGAACGATTTTGAGCAATGTCACCAATTGTTTCCAACCGCCATTGGTTTTTACCGTCCCGACGACCCCAACCAGGAAGCTAGTCTACATCTTCCTACGTGGCTAGCTTAGACTAACTGTTGTAGACTTCGTTGACTAGTGCCATGTTTTCGTTTGACCGCAGCTAGCTCTTTTCCAGCCTGGCCCTCTATCAGCTAACATTGCCCGTCGAGGAAGGCGATGACTAGGCATGCGTAACACATGTCCTAACCATCTCAGTCGATGTAATTTCACAGTCTCGTCGACTGATTTCCCCGCCTTACCTAGCACTCGACGCCTAACCTCAATATTGCTCACCTTATTATACCACTTCACGCGGGAGATAGAACGCAGAGACCTATAATCGAAGACAGACAATCTTTTCATGTCTTCTGCTCTCAATGGCCAGGTCTCACAGCCATAAAGGAGGACGGAGCGGACTGATGAGTAGTGCACACGCCCTTTGGTCGGTAGGCGGATGTCACGTCAACGCCAGAGACGGCGTAAACTGGCATATGCGAACCTAGCCCTCTGTATTCGTGCTGAGATTTCGTCGGAGATCAACCCATTGGCACTGGCTGATGGTATTTCCCAAGTAAGTGAAGCGGTCAACGTGCTCTACCACTTCACTTCCTATTTCTAATCTAGGGATCGGTGAAGTCCAATCCTGCAGCACCATCTTACATTTTACAGGGGCGAATCGCATGCCAAACATACGAAGATTGTTGCTCAAGGTGTTCAGTAGACTCTGCATTTTGTCAGCGTCCTCGCCTAGAAGGACTATATCGTCTGCGCATATTCTAAGTCAACGAGATTATTCCCTGGTAGCGAGTCAATCCCTGAGTCGCTGAAGTGTGTTAGGGTTAAGTCCATTAGTACATCTATGATGAAGTTGAATAAGAATGGGGATAATGGGCATCCTTGACGGACGCCACTAGTCGTCACCACTTCAGATGACAACTCGCCAAAAGCCCTCACCTGGCTGCATGAGTACGAGTAGAGTGCCTTAATCAGTGCAATGTATTTTCTCGGCATTCCCTTTACAGCCAAGCATCGCCAGAGAACCTCTCGGTCGACAGAATCGAAAGCCGCCTTTAGGTCAAGAAGTATAGTGATTGTCGGACGCCGGTAGGAATGCCTATGTTCTAGAATCTGTCGGAGGGTGAAGATATGATCAATACACCCTCTTCCTGGCCTAAAGCCTGCCTGGTTTTCTCGTGTTTGTGTCTCCCGAGCACCACTTAGTCTACGCAGTATTATTGAACCTAGGATTTTAAATACTATATTAGTCAAGCTAATCCCTCTGTGATTATCACCAGAAGACCTGTCTCCCTTCTTGTATATCGGGATGATCACTGACTTACACCAACCCGATGGGACTTTCTCTGATTCCCAGATGCTGTCTAGAACCTCAGTTAATGCAAACAGTAAACTGTCTCCACCGTACTTAAATACTTCTGGAGTTATTTCATCAGGCCCCGCTGCTTTGCCTTGCTTCAGATTAGTGACAGATTTAGTAACCTCAGTTAAGGACGGAGGACATGTGTCTATATCCCATTCAGGGAGGTGTTGGATGTTCGGCAGGTTAAGTGTGGCTGTAGGCCAATTAAACTGCTCCCCATAGTGCTCTTTCCAGCGCTTCAGACGTCTATCCTGGGAGCTAATTTTGGTGCCATTTTTCTCCAAGATTGTTCCGCTTATCATTTGCCTTTTGCCGCCTGTTTCCCTGATAAGCCTGAATAGCTGTCTGGTGTTGCCAATCGCCGATAACTTTTCCATCTCTTTCGATTTTGTAGCCCACCACTGTTCACGGTCCTTGCGAAGACTTTTTGTTAGTCTTCGTTTGAGTACCTTTGGCTCCTCATCATAATCGGAGCTCTCTGGAATCAGTCTTCTTGCGTCAATCAGTTTGGATGAGGCGGTAGAGATCCAATGGCTTTTATTAACTTTAGGTTTTAGCTTATTCACAGCTTTCATGGCTGTGTCCACAGCTAACTGTATGTTGTGCCAAGCTACCTCAGGGGAAGTCCTACTGTCGACCTCAGAAACTAGTTCCGCTATTTCTTCCTTAAATAAGGACTCAGTGTCACGATCTAGTTGGAGACGTAACTGTTTCGCTGCCGTCAGTTTCTTATATCCATTTAGTCGTAAGCATAAACGTGCGCGAACCAGAGCGTGATCAGAGTCTACGCAAGTGTTCCAGAAGGAGCGACAGTCTTCTACTGACCATCGCCAACGATACCCTATGGCTATGTGGTCTATCTGAGTCCAGCGTTGATTTGGTGATGGAGGTCGCCAGGTTACACAATGTCTTTCTTTGTGCCTAAAGTTAGTGCTGACTAGGAACAGATGATTATCTGAGCAAAACTGTAGAAGACGATCACCGTTGTCGGTTCGTTGGCAGGGAACTCCATACGTGCCACCTACATACTTCTCAGTCTAGCACGA